TCTTCCTCCTGGCAGCCCCCCCGGCCATGTGAGAGTGAGGTCCTTGCGAGGACCTCACAATCACATGGCTGGGATAGCTGCCTCCTGCATTGCCAGCAGGGGGGATGCCTGTAATGACAGGTAGTCCCCCTGCTGGCTGGAAATAAAATCAAATAAAGTTAATAAACAGTAAAAAAAATATAATTATATACTTAGATCATATATATATATATATATATATATATATATATATATATAAAATATATATGATCTAAGTATATATATACACATATACATACTCATACACTAAGTGTATTTTACTATTAATATATATAATTATATATATATATATATATATATATTATCAAATTACACGTAGACTGACATTGATTAAATGAAAGACACAAGTAATGAAAGACCGGAGGGCGTACTATTACGCCCGGCAGCGTTTAGAGCCACCTAAAATAGGGCGTAATAGTACGCCCTCTGGTCTTAAGGGGTTAAATACAGAGGTTCACTTATTTCCCCACTTAGCTCCTTAAGTATTCGTGAGATTTATTTACATTCTTTACTTTAACTGCTGTAGCACCTTGTCTTGAGTCATCCAATCACAAATTATCTGCAAGTTTTTGTCAGCAATCATTTGCATATCTCTTGCCATAGGATCCTCATTAATATTTAGTGAAAAAAATAGTTATTTAAAATTTCTGCCTTTTCCTGGTCTTCATTAACTAACAGACCCATGTCTGTTGCCAGTTTACCTGCACTTGAATTTTTAGTTTTTTTAGAATTGATGTACTTGAAATAAAATCTGGGGATGTTTTTACATTCTTTGGCTATCAATTTCTCATGTTCTAGTTTAGCCACTTTAATTGCCTTTTTGCAAGCATTATTGGCTTCCTATATAGGATGCCTTTGATTTGTCCAAGTTAAATGCTTTAAATACCCTTTTCTTATTTTTAATCTCTTGTTTTACTTCTCTACTATTTTTCTATGGTTTCAATATGTTTGTTTTATATTTTATTACCCAATGGTACATACTAAGAAATGTACCTTTCTAATATTTGTTTCAATAGTTTCTATTTATCCTCAGTGTTTTTTTCACTAAGGACTTTATGCCAGTCGATATGTTGTAGAACTGCCCTAATCTTACTGAAATTGGCTTTTTAAAATTATAAGTTTTAGTATACCAGACGTGCTTTTGCGAGTTTAATTTAAAAAATTACCATATTCTGATCACTGTTTCCCAAATGCTCCCCTACTTGAATGCTGGTCAAAAGATCAACATTGTTTGTTATAACGAGATCCAGACAAGCATCCTTTCTAGTTGGTGCTTGTACCAGTTGTGACATGAAGGTGTTATTTAACACATTCAAAAACAGAAATTCTTACTTACCGTAAATATTTTTTCTTAATATGGTGGCAGTACCTGAGGGTTTGCCCTTCCCTTTGGGACAAGCACCTGTAAGATAAGTAAATTGAGCAATTCCCTCCAGCTTGCCCTATAAAGGGCTACTAAGGCAAA